TCCCGCTTATTCTCCAAAGTTGTAGAATATTCTAGAGAGTAAAAATCAACAATATATGTGTATGTAAACCCTTGTGTTAGTGCCAGTATTGTTATGTAAAACTGAAAATTCGAGAAAGCCTCCACATCCCTATAAATATAACCAGCGCGACGTGCTAAAAAGAGAGTATCTCTTGTTAGTTTGCTATAGTCAGTGTGCTATAAACTTCTGAAGCTATAACTGCGATTGTTATAACGCTTATCATTCGGAAAATTCCAGATATTTGATCAGGAGCATATACAAAGTTCGAACATTACAAATCATTTAACTTCAGTGGATTCATATCGAACAGTTGTACCTTTACGAAGATATTATATAACTTCAGCAGTAAAAAAAACTCGACCTGTAATCGGCGTGTGTGGCTGGTAAATAATGAATGACGAAGCTAGTTAGCTTCCCGTTAAGTGAACTATACCTACGTCAACGCTCATCGTGAACCCTCGATAAGATATCAAAGAAGTTCCAAACTAAAAGGAGAACTTTATATTGCTTGTAAGTTTGAGAAACCTTTGTTTATAAATCATTTTTTGTAATAACTATTTGTATTAACTGTTATTGTAAATTGTATTGTTGTGTGCATATTAAAATGTATTTGTGATAAAAAAAAAGAAAACTGTGGGTATCAATCGTATTAACAAACATTATAAACTGACTATATATTGGCTTTTACTTAACTGCTAAACCCAAAGTACAATTTAACTACTAAATTTAAAGTATTGTTTAACTCGATTTTACACCATTTGAAATTCTAATACGTAACACAATATATGACAACTGTATTATTTGCATTCACGTGGCGCCCTTAACATCCCTGTGTAAATTTACCTTCCTATGACATACAGTTTGTGAGATGTGGTGTGCTGAACTGAAAGAGTTTTTTATAATCACTCTGTATATACATCTGTTAATTGTGTACGTATCTTTGACATTAATGTGTTTTAAATTATTAATAATTGTGCTTATTATGATAAATATATTACTGACATTTATGAGATGAATGTTGTATATGATTATTTTTGAACTTGTCTGCATGTTACTCATTTCGGTATGGTAACTGACATGTATAGTAAGTGGACATTTTTATCTATATATTGTTGATATCAATGTGGCAAAAGTATTTTCTACCTGGCTAAAGAGTGCGAATTGTGTCTGCGTATTGTTAATAGCAGTAAGGTATTGAAAACGATGCTGAATTTCGTGCAAAGCTACTCGAAAGCTATCTGCGTTAACTGTTTCTAATTTAGAAGTGATAGAATAAACGGAAGGCAGTTGGTAAACATCATCCAAAATCAACTTATGGGTTACTCGAATAAAATAGTGGTATTTGACTATCACTCTTGTTACGCATCCACAGCCCTAACATTCGAAATGGGATTTTGTGTGTGTGTGTACAAGTGTGGCCGAACGACTGGACATCGAATCCATAGTCTAGAATGTTAAATGTTGGGCCGCTTTCCACCCAATACGGTAAATATACGCATCTATTTATTGTGGATTTTTGTTTGTGCTTAGTTGATAGCAATATGGAAATGTTTTAGGTGTCTAGTAACTGTGGAGTTTTTTCTGTACTTAGTTGATAGCGGTATGGTAAATGTTTCAGGTGTCTAATAACTGTGGATTTTTTTCTGTGCTTAGTTGATAGCTGTATGGTAAATGTTTTAGGTGTCCAATAACTGTGGAGTTTTTCTGTGCTTAGTTGATAGCGGTATGGTAAATGTTTTAGGTGTCTAGAAATTGTAGGGTTTTGTCTATGCATTGTTCACAGCGGTATAATATATGTTGTTTGTGTCTAGTAACTGTGAATTTTAGTCTACTGATTGTTATTATGGAATAGTAAATGTTCTACGTGTTTAGAAATTCGATTTTAGTTTGGGTATTGTTGACAGTAAATGTTATACATGTTTAGAAATTCGATTTTAGTTTGTGTATTGTTGACAGTAAATGTTGTACATGTTTAGAAATTAGATATTAGTTTGTGTATTGTTAACAGTAAATGTTGTACATGTTTAGAAACTGGATATTAGTTTGTGTATTGTTGATAGTGGTATAGTAAATGCTGTACGTGTCAAGGTACTGTGGATTGTTGTCTGCGCATTGTTGATAGCTGTGTGATAAATGTTGTGAAAGTTTAGAAACTATGAATTTTCGTCTACATATCGATGATAGTGGAATAATAAATTTTGTGCGTCTCTAGTAAATGTGAATTTTTGTCTCCACAGTGTTGACGTTGGTATAGCAAATGTTGCACGTGCAAAAAAAAAACCGTTCGGTTTTGTTTACGCGTTCTTGACAGCGGTGTGGTAAATGTTTTATTTGGTGTTTTGTTTGTGCAGTATCGATAGAGGTTTGATTAATTTTATATGTGTCTAGAAACTGGATTTTTTGTCTATACACTGTTGATAACGGTATAGTTAATGCTGCACGTGTGTAGAAACGATGAGGTTTGTCTGCGCATTTTTGACAGCACGTGTCTCAAGACAGTGGAGTTTTATTTGCAAGTTGTTGGTTGTGGTATGGTTATTTTTGTACGTGTCTAGAAATCCTGGAATTTTATCTGATCGTTGATGGTAGCGGTATGGTTAATGTTGTATCTCTCAAGAAACCGTGAATTTTATCTACACGTTGTTGACAGCATGTGGCTAAAAACCGTGGGGTTTTGTCTGCACATTGTTGAGAGTACACTTCTAGAAACTATAGGGTTTTATCTGCACATTGTTGGTAGTAATATGGTAACCGATTAATTATGTGTCGGTACATGTACTATATCTTGTATAATGTGTTCTACTGTACTGAATGTTTATACAATTTAATAAACAGTTATTTTTATGTATTTGATTATCATTAGTTAATATGAGTTTGTAAAAAGTAGATATTGAAGAAGAACTTTATTATTCAACTTTATGTTATTTGTACAAGTTGTTCAACGCTTTCTTCGTTTTATATTATTAGAAGTAGTATGGCCAAAACATATACTTTCAAGTCTGAATTAAAGTAAAGAGACTGGAAAATAACAATAACATAAAGTTTTTGAATAATCTGTTAATAATTCCGTTACGTTTTGCTCAGTGGCGGAACAAGCAGTTCAGGAACCCCGGATCAAAGAAGTTATCGAGGCCCCTTTTTTCACAATATAAGACCAGACCCCCAGGCGTCGCGGGCCCCGGGGCATTGTCCGTCTTCCCCGTGTTAGTTCATCCTCTGGTTTTGCTGAAAAATAGGTAATTTTCTTGCAGAATATCGTTATGGGATCACAACTAAACATCTAAAAGCTAACGATCAATTACAATTGCTTCCAGGTTTTATAGGTAAATCATCAAAATGCTAAGTCTCTCTCGTCAATAGGCAGATATATTACTCCAACTAAAAGTATTAGGTCGTCAAAAAATTAATTTCGCGTTTTAGAACACTTTCATTAGCCACCCCCCAGAAAACGTACATCACGTAGAATAGTTAAACGAACCACCTAAGCGTCACGTTAGTGTAGTCTATATAATGTGTAAAGTTTAGTATACTCTAATTCCTTATAGTGCTGCACACGACGGGATACATATTGGTCACATAATGCTGTTTGAATGTAAGAAGGGAAACAACGCCTCTGTAGCCACAAAGAATATCAAAGAAGTTTATGGAAGTGTTTTGGACGTTCGTAAGTGTTAATGATGATTCAGCAAATTTCGTTCAGATGACTTTAGCCTTAAAAAATGTGATCGCAGGGGCAGAGATGTTGAAATTGATATTGATGCTCTGAAGACGATTGTTGAGTGTAACCCAAGGCAACACACTCGTGAAAAGGCCCTGAAGTAGTATGTCTCTCATGAAACAATACGTAAACATCTAAGGGATATGAGAAAACTCCATAAAGAAGGTGTATGGGTGCCTCACGAACTTTTCGATGAACATCGTTTCCAACGTGTGAACGTTGTTTCGTCTCTTCTGGTGTGTGAACCATTTTTGGACAGAATTGTCACTGGTGATGAAAAATAGATTATCTATGCGAATTTTAAACGCCAAAAACAGTGGTTCAGTCCTAGACAAAAACCACTTCCATCCGCAGAAAGTGATGCTTTGTATTTGGTGGGACATCAAAGGAGTAATTTATTTAGAACTGCTCAATCCACAGCGAACTGTCAATGCAGAGATCTATAGTCAGCAACTGGAACTTTTAAATCAAGCCCTTCACTCGTCGACCGGAAAGGTGTTCTTCTCCACGGCAATGCAAGTCCACATGTGGCACGTTTGACGCAAATCAAGATTATGGCGTTGGTCTGTGAAGTTCTCCCCCACCCACCATATTCTCCAGATATGGCATCATCAGATGACTATCTTTTTCGTTCGCTGTAACACCATCTTAATTGGAAAACATATGCAAATGTGGAAGGTGTTTAACAGGACATCGATATGTATTTTGCTTCACAGCCATGTGATTTCTTTGATCAGGACTTTAACAACCTGATTGTAAAATAGAAAAGCATCATCGAAGAGAATAGAGACTATTTCATTTAATAAATGTATTGTTTTGATATATAAATTGTTCGAGTTTTTTCATCTAAAAAAAGCGACATTAATTTCCTGACGACCTAATATTTTGGTGAAAAGGTTGAATTTTACGCTTATTAATTGGAAATTCTGTGTATCCATAATTGGACAATTCATCTTGTGACGTGCTTAGCTACTTTGAAAACATTCTTATAGGATTCATTTGTAACAGGCGCAGTTCTTTAGTTTGGAACTATATGAACTTCTTTAAATTATATCTTGGTTCGAGATTGTGTAAAAATGCTTGAATAAAATATTAAATTTTCTACCAGAGGGAACCGCAGAATAAGCCTAATATGTGTAACAGAGCGCTGAATAAGCAGTGGTGGACATATCCTTAAGTATATGAGCAAAACATAAATTTCAAGCTTGCAAATTAAGCCTAGGTTAACTAATTTAGCACCGAAATACTAAAAATATACAACTAGCTGATGAAAACCTTTAAACAGTATAGATTTAAATGTGTTATAGATCTAACATAGTGATTTCAACATCTTAAGCTTACCGTAGACATAAAACACATGAATTGTATAGTGGAATGTTGGATGAACACAAATATTTATAAATACTAGGAATTAAAAGACGAAAACATATTATTTATTTAGTATACGTATGATATCAAAACAAAATATTAAAATAGCAGGTTTTCTGTATCTTGAGTGCATGTAGTGTAAGAGAATTTCGATATCTTAGGGCGTAAAAACGGAGTGAAATATAAGTAAGACTTTTATGTAACTTGTTTTCATGTAAGGTAACTTCTTGGGACCACTTTGTGTTAAGTGTTTTTAATAATAAAGTTCACCCTGCTCTTACTTTTTATATCTTCTTAAAGATTGGTTTATTATTGTTAAATATATCTGATATTTACTTTCAGAACTATATTACTGTATGAAGAACAACCATGAAGAATCATCTGAGTCTGTGCTTACTTGCATCACTTATATCAGTAGTAAAAAGTGTGGAGAATCCCAACAGATCTGTGAGGTTAAGATCAGAAAAAACGACTATAGGTCAAGTATAATATTCATTTAAAATTATAGATTTTCATTAAGTAGTTCGAACGAGTTAGACATACACTCATAGTAAGATCAGAGGTATTGAATCTTTCTGGCTTAAAGCCGGTTCATTTTGATCAACTCTATTACGACCTCAGAGTATAGGTTTATATTTATTCATACCCTGCCACTCCTTAGAAATAGACTTATTCAGCCTTTCGTTTCTCATTTACTTTCCTTTTCTCTCAACGACTATTTCAAGGAAGGTGTGCTGAAAGGTGTTTATGACGTCACAGCAAGTGGGTTGAATAGTAACTAATAAATTATAGCCTTGAAACAAGAAAGAACTAACGGCTAAAATCATTGGATAGAAAAAAAAATTGTCTATCTACGTCAATGTAATGTAAATAAAGCTGAGTAAACAGCAATGCATGGTTTCTGGGAAAATGACTTGCAGAAGTTTCGTAATGGGGAACAAAGGATTTTAACATGAAAAGGACAATTTAGAAACAAGCTACAAACCTATAAATTATATAAAATATTTTTACGATATTTTCGTCCGCGGTATTATTTGTGTTATGTCTGTTTTAAAGCTTCAGGAATGTTCTTATACGAGAATGTATCACATGAGGTTATTTACGATAAACTAAAAGTTATACGGCGACAACCCAATCAAATATGTTTTACCTACTGCCAGAATAAATATATTGTTACGTATCTGCTTCTTTAATAATTTCCGGTAGAAGTTCTTTCCGAGGAACTTCTGTGATACAAGTCCTTTCTTGATTAAACCAGTTGATACTTTCTCGATACAACTTTTTGTAATACACAGAATTTCCACAGTCATTTTGAACTTAAAAGCCTTTATAACACACGCTATAAATCACAGTGATTCACACACTTTAATTACGAGGCCTATTGTTAGATTGATTCAATTATCTATCTTTTCAATTCCGCTGGTTTTTCTTGCCAGGCTTATAATGGCTGGAGACGGCTTGAATGGGTAATGAAGAAAAAC